AAAGATTTACTTATTCCATTTTATAAGAAATGTCCACTAAAAACTCAACTAAATTTCTCTCTTTCAGTGAAAATTCTGGGCATATTATTCTCTGGGCTGTGAATGACACATTTAAACACTACAGGACAGACAAAATGTAGCCAGGGAATTCTTGTCTCATTCAGTCCTTATCTTGCTATGCGACTCTTCGGGAACTGCTTAACTCTTTTGATTCCTTTGCCTGAAACGGGAAGTAAAGACATTTGCTCAAATACTGATAGATAAAAAACACACTCTTCCCCTTCCTTCTATCAAACAAGGCTTCCCTTATTCCACTGAGCTGATGAATAGAGATCATTTACCACTATTCACTCTGGGTATTCTCAAAGGGCATTATAATTGTCTTCATTCTACTGAAGTACTCCCAAGACTCTTTCTTATAATCTAATGGTACCTCAATTACCCATATTACTTTCTGAAATTTCCTTAAAATCAGCATTGTCACTGCCTTTCACCACAGAGATGTGGGGTAACAGTCTACCACTGTTTAAAGTTTCAGCATAAAACATTATAAATCCTCAGGAAAAGTACAATTCTTAGACGTCAGAATTCTAGAAACCAGAATGAACATTTGGTTTCTAAACTGTGTCCTACATCAATGTGAAATCAGTTCTCTTCACTAGCTGTTTAGAACAAAAAACTCACTGGATAAGTTCTTTATATGCATACACAAAACATGTATTTCTAATTGGGACTTTTTATCTATCAGTGAAATGGGGTTATACCGTTCAGGCCGTGCTAGATGGATTAATAATTTCACATTCTCATACGCTATTATTAAAATTTAGAAGACTACTAAAAAAGCCAGTAAAGTTTGCAAGTATGTGACAATAAAAAGGGTTGTTGGTTATATGGTTCCAAAACATCTTATAATCATCTATATTATTTATTTCTAGCTTCATGAGGAAGAAAATAACATCTTTATTATACACTTATTGAGGAGAAAAAAAGCTGCAGCTCCTTAGATGGGAGAGATGACATTTTTCCAGACTACAGAACTTACCCAGAACAAACTGAGTCCTGATTCCATGGTTTTTCCTCTTGGAGAAGTATTTCTCTGACTATCTGAGAGGGAACAGGCTAAAACTTCCTGTCCAATTGGACAAGGAAAGCATCAAAGTGCTCACCAAACTTCTTCATCTGTTCAAGGGCTTTCCTGAAGCTCTTTCATATTTCAAAGTGAGTCAGCAGATCCTAAACTCATTTTTTTCATTTGACCACTACAGAAATGCTGGAAGCGAATTATCTATTTATTGAGATTGGAATGAGGGACAGAAAGTACTAACTTCTTAGTTCAATATAATTAAAACTTGTCAGAAAATCCAAGTATTTTCTTTGATAATTATTTTACAGTAGCCGTTCCTAAAAACCAACAAGAAAATCCATCATGTCACTCAAATTCTATTTTTTTAAATATGCTAGAAACCAAGTAAATTCAGAGGAATTTCTCAAGGAGAAAATCTTGCATCCTGATAGAAAGAGAAAAGAAAAAAAAAAGTTCCCTATGTTTTCCTTAAGGGAAAATGTTTTATTTATATAAACAAAGCACCAATGAAATATGACATTCTCATGCAACACAGTCTCAGGATTTGCACTTATAAAATAACATTCTTTGAATAATTTACCGAAGGAACTTGTTGATGGATACCCTATCAACAAATTAAGCTAATATTGTACTTAATTTTCTTAGGAAAAAAATATTCTAATCAAATCCATTTTGTTTTAACTAGTGACTTACATTTTTAGTATAAACTCCAGGGCAATTTTTAACAGCCTGTAAAAATCAAGTAAGAGTTGAGATTCAGCAAATGCTGAATTCTAAGCGATGTCCTAAGAATATGCATTTTTCTTTTCTGCCCAGCTCTGAGTTCTATTTGCCAGTTACAGGAACTAGCAATCACCAAGAGATTTTTTTCACTCATTCATTCAGTAAACATTTATTAATAGCACACTATAAACAAGGCACTGGGTCAAGCAGTGGGGATACAGCCCTAAACAAGACACATGGTCCCTGCCCTCAAGGAGCTCACAGTCTAGTAGCCAGTATCAAAGGCAAATATCAAATACACACAAAGATGTCAAACTGTATCAAAAATCTTGTGAATGAGTTAAGGCATTAAACAACTGCCCCCAGCTCTCCCAACCAAATGCAAGCTCAGGACAAACATTCAACTGCGAGGTAACTAAACAAGACATAGTCCTGTATCATTTTTTTTTCTGTTGCTTTAGCTGAAATGCCTGATGGCTAGTATAATAATCCATAATAGGGTTATTATTATGGTTCTACCATTTATGTGTGTGGAACTGCCAATCTCTTTTTAAAATCAAAATCCTACATTTTGATGTTTGCACCCTGACCATTATTTACTTTCTGTCACATCTAAATGGGTTGTTCTATTGAATTAATCACATATTCAAAAACTCTTGCTTTATAATAGACATGGTTTGTTGTTTTCCATAAACTTAATTAATTTAATAAAGACTTGAAAATTTGCAAGCACATCTTTTATTTTTATACATTTTAAAATTGAATTTTACAAAATATAATGATAGCTACCAAGTACTGAATACCTACTATGAACTAAGTGGATTTTTTTTTTTACATAATTTCTTGTAATTCCACCCCCCACTCTCCATAACCCTGTAAAATACTATTGGCCCTATTTTACAGATGGAGAAACTGAGGTGCCCAGAAGTTAAGAGAGTTTTCCAGCACCACACAGTTAATGTAAAGCCAGGAATAGAACCTCTGATTATCTGACTGGTTAACTTATTCTCTTAAGAAGCCTAAATTGAGCATAGAGTTTTCACTCTCCATCGCTATATGCAGTGGAATTACTCCTGGTGCAACATTATAATGATATTATAATAATGCAGTTAAAGCTTTTAAGCAACTAGAAACCAATCAAACGTTAGGATGCAATAAAACATCTGATTAACCGGTGAAATAACTTCAGGTAAATGCTGAGTGTGAAACCATGAAGTCTTTGCTAAGATGAGTAAACCATATCAAGCAGCAACCTCCAATCCCAGCTGTGTGCAACTTTCCCCAAAAGACGGAAAATTATCTTACACTAAGTGTGCTAAGTGGGAGTTGGCCTGAAAACTCCTAAAGAAATGCTGGGTCAGGGAGAGCTTGTGTCTTTTATTTTCTTTAAATCTTCAGTGGAGCTCCTCCTACAGCAGCTTCACCTGGGCACAGTGATTGGGTTACCTGCTCTAGAGGTTTGGTCCGCATTTAAGAGAACACACTAGTGTAAGCATTTAAGCATACATCATCCTCACTGCAAGAATCATCAGATGATCCCCAATAAAACATGGAGAGCTTTATGAGAGAACAGGGATGTAAAATCGAAAAATCTAAAATAAAATGCATATGGAGCAAAGTGTTCTGCACTAACCTCTTCGTTTATCCAAGTGCACACAACCACAGTCAGTTGACAGCACCCAGAAAAAGCTTCCACCGGCAAATTACAGATTGTAAACTAAGCTATCAACCCCGTGACTAGGTTTTCTAAGGTCTGCAGCGCTTTTAGGGGCTGCTTTTCCCCCTCTTGTACAGCTGCTCCACTGCACAAGAAATTCACTGAAACCCTTGCGTTGGGCACTAATATGGAATCACTTAAAAAGAAACGTGTCACTTTCGGCTTGGGGACAACATGCTCCATTCAGCGTCCTACTGGATTCTTAACACGCATGTGATTAATATTGGTACTCAGGAAAGAGAACTTCTTCTGACCTTGAGCGTGCGCGCTAAATAAATTACCTCAGAACGAAAGTGGTGAGATCTCATAACAGCATCTGAGGAGAAAAGAGAAAAATAAGGCTTCATTTAACTCCTTGTTCTTCACCTACCGAATCACTAATGACTTACCTGGGAGACAAGGGTCGGGAAGGCACAGTCCAGACGCCTCAAATTTGGTGGGAGCATCTTGGGGCAGGGAGGGGATGTGCGGGGCCATCGGTCTCTAGGTGACTTCTTCGCGAGAAGTTGCCGGGAAAGTTCTGGGGGAGTTGGGGAGCCCCGAACTCTCCATGCCTTACTTTCTAGCCCCTAAGCTCCAGCGAAGGATGGGCGAAGGCGAGGCTGCCGCAGCCCCGGCCGACGCTGGAATTGCCCCTAGGGCTTCAGCGAACTGACACCAAGAATCTGAGCGCGTTCCTCCCCTCCCTGCCCTCCGCATCGCCGCGTTACCCAAACCTGGGAGACTGGAGGGCGGGGGTGAGGGCAGAGAGGGCCAGGGGCGTTCGATACATAAACGTACTCGGCTTGGGGAGTGGGCAATGGTGGGGACAGGGGCGGCAGCGCAGAAGGGACGGAGCAGCGCTTCACTCTCCGAATCGGCTTAAACGTTCCTCCCAGCCCGAGGAAGCCCGGCGCGGCGTGTCTTACCTCGGCTTCTAGAACGACCCGAAAAGACCGATTTCATCGGATGCCTCCCTTTCTGGAGCTTGCGGTGCCAGCAGCAGAAGAAGACGATGGTGGCGATAGTGCCCAGCAGAAGCAACAAGAGGAAGAGGGCACATTGGATGCTGTAGGGTCTCAGCAAGACGAGGAAAGCCGCGGCGATCATGGTGCGGGCGAGGCGGGGGCGACACGGCGGCGGGCTGGAGGGCGGCGGCACAGGCACCCGCGCGGGGCGCACGCCGGGACGGCGGGCACGGGCGAGCGCGGCTCAGCGCGTCATGCCCGGCGCTCGCGGCCCCGCGCCCAGCCCAATGGCTGCGCACCCCGCGCCCGCCGCGCTACGCGAGTGATCCAGGGCTGCGGGGAGCGCTTGCCATGACTCAGCAGACAGCGACGAGGCAGCGACTTGGCGGCGGGGAGCCTCTCCCCGCCCTCCCCGGGCACCCCCGCCCCCTCCGTGCGCAGCCCCCGGGCGCAGCCCCGCCGGGGACGCGGCGAGTGGGGAGGAGCAGCGCCGCCGCCGCGACCGCTCGGGCCCACCGCATCGTCCTGTGGCCGCCGCCAGCCTCAGCATCCCCGAAGCCCGGCGCACGTGGGTCGGGGCGGAGACGCGGCGCCCCGGCTGCAGCGGCGGCGGCCTGCGGGGGGCGGGAATGGGGCGCCGCGGCGGGGGATCGGCTGATGACATCACGGCCGGGATGCTGCAGCGCGGGCGCGCGGACATGGCTGCGGCGGCTTCGGCGGCGGCCGCGGGCTGCGCTGGGGCCTGAGTGCCCAGCGCCCTCCCGCGGGGCCGCCCGCCAGTCCGCACCGTGCTCAGGTGCACTGGCCAGGCGCCTCTTCGCTCCCCGGACACCTGGGGCTTCCGCCTATCCAGCCTTCCTTGGCCGAATTGCTGGGGAGCCCGGCGTCAGGGGGCGCCAAGGAGCCAGGGGGAAAACTGTAAGGCGCTGGCTGGAGCCTCCAGGCGGTGCTACCCCCACCTCCCACCTCCCTGCGCCCCGCCCCGAGGCTGGGGCTTTGGAGGATGCGGCCCGGTGAGCTATTGCTTGTGGGGGGTTCCTCGCACGCTGAAGCGCGAACACCGGGAAGGGCCTTCCCTGGGAATTGGGATCCTCCAGGAACGGGAGGGCCACACCACTACAAGCCCCTCTAAACTAGGAGCGCTCCGGAGCAGAACGCTCCGGTCTGCAGACGTGAACTGTTCCATCCCCAAACTTAACGCTATTTCGCAGCCGAGAAATGGGCACTTTTTAGATCCTCTTATATCCGTAAAGGCGTTTACGGTAAAACCCTGACTCATTTAGTGCATTCGAAGGGAGAGGAGATTTCAGATTTAAGAAACCTGGCAGGTGAAGGGAGTTGGGGATTGGCTTGTAAATATTTTGGGGAGAAATGTTTTAGGCAGTATGAGGCAATAGTGATCTGTCACACTCCTGCCCACCCTCCCTCTGTCTCCCCTTCGTCCCTTCCCCACATCTCTTCATAACCAGCAAAAAGTATGTTGTAGTTGGTGGCCAGGGGATTTAACACTGGTGCAATGCCAAGGCAGAAGGCATAGCGGGAGCGCTGCAGTGTGCCTTCCTGCGGACCACAGCCACCTGGCCAGGAAGCGGCTGCTGCAGCAGTCAGTCTGCGGCATCTTGTGGCCTGGGCAGCTGGTGCTGTACCGCGTTCTGCTGCCCCCAAGGCAATGCTGCCTTTCCCTGTGTTGGGGCTGGATTGTTTGTATATTTGGTTTTTTGTTTTTTGTTTTTTCATTTACTAGCATAAGGAAACTGCAATTATAGTGACAAGGTAACACATTACTGCATTTGTGGAGTTTCTGATAACGACTAGGTTGGACTCTTGTTTTGGAATATTTAAGAGACTGAAGAAATTGTGCCATAAAAATAATTTGTAAAATTTTGAAAAACACATAAAGAATTGGTAAGAATACTTAAGTTGTATTTGCTTGCAGGGATCTCAAAATCAGTGTTGTTTTCTAACTATAAAAAAACCAGCTGTACAGCTCTGCATAAAAGCTTAACTGTTGATGTTCTTAAGGCCAGTAACAAATTACCATTTGTAAGTATTAAAAGAAACCTAAAAAGGCATTGCTTACTGCAGTCTCTTAATGCCAGATTTCATAAACATGGAAAACAATGGATATGTTTTCTTATTTGCACTGGTTTCCTAAAACAAAATAAACACGCAAATCGTTGACATGTCGCATCTCATTCATTCTGTTGTTTTGGGTTGAAGATGCAAGAGACCTCGCTTGCAGACAATGTGTAAGGTGGGCATCTTGAATGTCAGTGTGTAGGCTGCCCTGCATGCCAGGGTAGGCTTCAGAGGTTCCTGGCACTCAGAGGGTCTGACAGGTAGCACTGCATCATATGCACATGGCTAAAGGTTTCCTGATACTGCAGCCCTCTGCAGTGAGAAACTGTATTCCTGGCCATTATGCAGGGGTTATTGAAGAGAATCCTGAGAGCCTGCAATGTGTGGTACATCAGGAAAGGAAGAATTTTCTACCGAATTGACTCAACAATGGCATGGTGGAGTAATTTAAAACAACAAAAAAAGTGAATTTACCTTTTGCAAACAGTGGGTGGAAAAAACTAATAGAATTTAGGAAGGTCATCTTTACTTTATGCTCCTCATTGATTAAAATTTGTAAATGAGCTGAAATGGCCTACATATCCTTGAACAGAAACGTCAAAGACTACAGACACAGCATAGTAACTAAATTGCCCCAGATGCTGCATTTTTAGTAACAAAAAGCAACCAAATAGCAATTATGGTTTTCTCAGCTATTACTTAGCACAGTTGTTATCATCCTGAGTCTCGCTGTAGCCATTTATAAGTTTCAAGTGCACACAAGAACATCATTTATCTCTTTTAGCAGGCAAATGCTTAACTGCCATACAGTAGGATTATAGATTGTTCTTTTTAGGTGCATTCATGTCTGTTCTTTGCATCAGTTATCTTAAGGATACTAATAATAAGCCAACCAAATTCTTGAAAGAATTTAGCATTTGATTCCATTATTATTTTCTGATTTATTTATTACTAATTTATCATTGCCTTTTCCAAATAACAGCATACTGTTAATTGCTTCTTTCTGTGTGTTTATGTAGTGCCTAATGCATTGTAGAATTCAATAAATATTAAATCAGCCAATCAGTCCTTTTTGGAAGTTAATTTAGTAGAATTCATATCTTTTCGTCCTACTAGCTTTTCATTTAAAAAAAGAATAATTGATGTATAAAAGTCACCAAAAAATGTAAAGTTCGAGAGTAGGGATGGAGGAGGAGGACCATGGCAAAAATCTTTCATACCAAAAGATGAAAATCATAATGGAAAAGTATGTGTAACTTGTTGATTTTTTATGACAATGAGTTAGCATTGTCACCCAAGAGAAGACAAAGGAGTTGGGGAAGATAGCTAAAAGAGTTTGATATCAGGTATATACAAAGTGATCCTTCATGCAGCCCTTCTTCCCTTTAGATTGTTGACCAAATTGGGAACAGACAAGAGGAACAAAAAGGAAGTTAAAATATGATATTAACTTTATTCAGGATAAAGTCAGATTGAAGAACATGGCTTAGACTAAAGGCCAAAATGGAGTATCTTATTCCTTTTCCCCTAATTCAGCATACCCACACAGTCTTGGCTGAAGAATGACAGGCCTCCCCAACACTAGGGCACGAAGGAACCCAACTGGTACAAGTTCCCGCATAGAGACCAGAAGCTAAGAAGAGCCTGACACTTTACAACCCGTGAGGCAAACAGCATGGGTGAGCAAGATACAGGCCCATGTGTGAGAAGGGACTTTTTCTTTTTTTTTTTTTTTTGCCATTTTTTTTTTTTAGTTTTTTTTCGCAATTTTCTTTTTTTTTTTCAATTTCAGCATTTTACAGGAGTACAAATGTTTAGGTTATATATATTGCCTTTGCCCCATCTGAGTCAGAGAAGGGACTTTTATACATCAGCCCTGCCCATTAGTGGGCTGCCAGGCCCGCCCTGATTTTCCCTATCACTAAGTCTTTCCACCCTCCAAAGATGAGAAACATCTTCCACAGTACTTTCCTAGAGGTGGGAAATTGTGGCACAGTTCCTAGTTTATGGATCAGGAAGAAACGTCAGAAAGAAAGAAAGTTTTCGCCCTAAGTTGTGTAGCAACCAATTGTGGAAAAGGGAGGAATTGAAGACGACCTCAAGTTTTGAGCTACGGTGGAGGAATAGTTTTGAAGAGGAAGATGACAAACTGAGTTTTAGACTCACTGAGGTGGAGGTGTCAGAAGGACATGGGTGTGAAAATATCCAGCAAGCCCATGGACATGTGGGTGGGGAGGTCAGAACCAGAAACAGCTGTGGAGTCATCAACATAGATTTTAGCGGGAGTCATGGAAATGGAGGAAATGAGCAAGAAGAGAAGCTATAGAGAGAATTGGAATCGGAACTTTGGAGACAGCTTCCATTTGTGGACTGGAGGATAGCAAAGGGCAGGACAGGATGGCAGAAGCCAAGTATTCCAATTTAGTGGCTTAATAGAACAGATACACAAGTGGGAGGTTAAGGAGGGCAAGAACTGAGGACTGATGACTAGGAGACCTCTGGAAACCTTCCAGAGAACTGATTCATCATGGCAGGAGAGGCTAAAGCCAGACGTTAATAAGTTGAAGAGGGAATGAGAGATGAGAAAGAAAAGAGGGCTGTTGTCTACAACCTTTGATGAAATTTAACTCTAAAGGGCATGAGTAGAAAATCAATTAAAGCCTGAATAAAGGCCAATAATGATCTTTATGTCAAGATAGGGGTATTTGAACAAGTTTCTAGAAAACTTGGGGGATGGAACTAGCAGTGGGAGAGGAGGAATTGAAGAGTGAGGAGAAGGCGGCATTCTCCTGGGGATTTGTGATTTAGCGATTTGTTTCAACATTTTGCTTGAGTCCCCGCCCCGCAACCCCCACCACCACTGGTTCTTTCTGCTCTCAGGCTGCTTTTATCTCTGGGGAGTTAAAATTGAGCCTGACTAGTTGTGATGGCTCTCTGCCCATGGTCATCTCCTCCCCACCAACCCTGGCTACTAATACTCAGACCTAAGGAGTGATTGTTAGGGAAAGATAAGGAATGTCTTGGAATGTAGCCTACATTGCCTATGTTTATTACGAAACTATATGGAAGTGAGCAAATTACCCAACTGGAAAGCACACAAGGACGTTACATTGAAACATTACCCCCTTGAAAACAAAAAGTTCAGGTAAGAATGCCTCTAGTAATGAATTACTAGAAGTAAATCATACTAATTTTGAACTGGTAGCCCACTTGTTTCTAGGTAAAGTGTCTTTTATGTGCTTGTGTTAAAAGATAAAGGAGCTACATCGTCTGGAAGAACGTACCTCATCTAATATAATCTTGGAGGTGCTTTCCAGCCACCAGAATCAGGAAAGCCATCATATGGATGGATTACTATTGTCTTTTTAATATTTGAGTTTTTGAAGGAAAAATAATTAATAATTTGCAGTAATATCAAATATCGTTTTCAGCAAATACTCCCTGGGAAAGGACTTTATATTTGTTTTACCATAATAAAAACTTTTAAAATAAAAGTATCATTACAAAAGAAAATATTTCAAATGGAATCATTCCAGATTGTTCTTTTAACATTTTAGAAATTTTTAATTAGAATTTGTTGTTAGGATTTGTTGTTCTATGGGTTGCCAGGCTGAAGAATCCATGATCATGCTGTGAAACAAAAATTGTTGTTTTTTTGTGAGCACTATAGACTTTTCAAAAAAGTCTGCTGAGTTTGGGAGCTTAAAATCATCAATACAATTGAATTCATCTACTATATAATGCTTTGCAGATAGTTTTTGAAAAGCAATCATTTATTATCCACAAGCAAATAGAATGCATTTATATAGTTTCCACACTGAGTGTAGGATTAGTCATGCAGCAAAATACTGAGTCATTTGGCCAGAAAATTTACTCATAGTTGTACGAACTGCCAATGGAAAATTTGAGAGCTGTTCGTAAATCAAATTATAAA